TATCTCGAAAAAGATTTTTTTCAGATTAATTGAGATTACCGTGATTAGAAAGGCAAGAGCATCGAAATTCAAAATCTCCTTTTTTTTCTGAAAATTTTTGTACGAAAGTCGTAATAGTAGCCCCCCCCTAAAAATTTGGAACGCTTGGACAGTTTAGAAGCCCCGGAGGCTTCTATTATAGGGGGGGTTTAGATATACTATGGGGACTTTGTGATTTTTACTTTTTTGAATAGAATATTGAAATCTTCATCCAGTAGTTTGAACTAACTTAGTCTCGAATTAGTTTAAATTAATTTTTAATCAAAAATTAATGTAAAGTAATTCCCATGTAAATCGATCTAAATTGATTTGAATCCATATTAGTTCTAACAAATTGTTAATTTAAAATTGGTTTGAATTAATACTTTTTCACACCAATTTAAACCACTCTAAAATTACAAATTCGTTTGAATTTATTTGGTACGACATTAACAACAACAAGCCTAAAAAAATTAATACAGATTCATTTTAAACTGAAAGTTGTTTTGAACTGATTTCTTTCAGATTAGTGCAAATCAATTATTACTAAATTGAGTTAAAAGAATTTGGAAAAGCATTAATTTAAATTAATTTAAAGTTTCAAATTGGTCTAGAGTTTTCGAATTAATGTAAACTAATTCGAAATGCGACATGCGTGCGAATTAATTTAATATGAGACTTTGTGTAATGCAGTCGGGAGGGAAATTAATTTTTGTCGCGAAAAAATGAACTAAAATTAAGTTGTTTTTTTCCTGTTTAAATTAATGAGCAAAATTTTATGATTTTTTCATATTTGTTTGAAGATTTAAATTGGTGCACATTAATTTTGAAAGCAAAATTAATCTGAACGTCTTTCCTTTTAAAGTCGTTTAAATTCCTTTAAATCTCGAAATTAGTTTGCATTAATTCGAAAGTATTTAAAAGTTCCAATGGGATAGGTATAGAACCGTTTGGTATAAGTTATTTATATATGCGCATCTATAAAGAAAGTTTTGTCTTAGTCATGGAATGTTCTCTTTTCCGATCTGCTTTATTTCGTGGTAACGATAGAGACTTTCTTGTATATGTATTATCACAAAACAACTGAGAAATATCGATAGTCTTTCTTTCTTCAGTATTGTAGTACATCCGATTGCATTAACGGCCATATCGGTAAAACAGTACGAAAAATATGTTGACGTTTTGCCGAACGTGTTGGGTCAAAAGATCTTGTTATACTTCTGCATAATTCCGATGATGATCAGTCAGCAGAAGGTAGACGCTCAATCAAACGGTTTTCCACATGAAGTTAAAAAACATCGTACTAAAAGTCAAGCCAGCTTTTTTAGCCCCATTTGATGTTGAATTACGTCGGTCTAATCGTTTAAAAGAATATAATATAATCCATATGTACTCGATCCTATTCGAGACAACAAACAAAATAAATAAAGTATTAATACACTTATAGCAAGCACAAGTCAGTGTGCTATGTTTTCCGTTAATAGAAAATAATGCAACATTTCCCCGTTATCGTTATCAAAATCGATTGTATGTCAAAAAAGCAGAGCAAAAACCATTGCTAACACATATGACATTGACACTGGAAAATTGCTGAAAACGCAAGTGACGAGATTTACCAACTGGATTACAGGCAAAGTACCCGAATATAGATATAATTATCCAATGGATTTGGAAACATGTCTCAAGCCTTAACTTTCCTTTTTTTTGTATTGAAGAACTACAGAGCATTGACACGAAACAGTCAGCACATTCGACAGTAAAAAATTAACTTTACGGAGTTTCATGTCTTTGCTCCATTGCTTTGAGCTGTGACCGATCGAGTTGCCAGAACTTTACTTACCCTCATTCTCAGGACCGAAGTCCATTCTTGGTACAAGCAACTGTATCTTTGCATTTTTATTGTTTCACTGGAGAAAACTTTACACCAAATAGGAAAACGAACGGGTCACGCGTCTGGTTCGCCGAATCTCCAGGATGCTGCTCAACGTCACATACTTCATTCTTCACCCATCATAATTACCTTCACGATCATAACGACGAACAAGATCACGAAAAAAATGATCGTCATCGAAAAAATTATTAAAACGAAAATCATCATCATCATCATCATCAGATGTGGTGTTTGCTGATATTGGATTTGATGTATTTGTAATTTGGTATTGATCCGAGCCTAAAGAAAGTTGAAAACAGCATATGAAAGTGGAAACAGTTTTGAGATGCAGTCATGTCATTAAGCCTCCATGTTCCTCGAGAGCAGGGTTTACGATTGTTGAAGGTATGGGAGAGGCTAAAATGTGGTGGGAACTCAAACCAACTTTGCGACGTAGAAATTCAGGTCATCTGTCACAATCAGATTCTGTTACTAACAGAAACTGGTTTTACGTGAAAATTAACGCCTTTTATTGCTTTCTCTCTTTTTTTTCGCTCTCAATATATGTTTTTCTTCCCATTTTCTCTTTTTCGTATTTTATCGTGTGAACGAACAGAAAGAGGCAAAGAATATCCATCTAAGCTTGTATCAAGCACTGCTATTACTTCAGTTCAGTATACTTGTTCAAAATAGTACAGATATAAAAAACGCTACAATTACTTGTATAGAAATCATTTGTATGCTCTCGCGGAACATAAAAAGTAGATTGTTAACTCCTTTTCGTAGTAGGCAACGTCGTTACATCAGCACCTTGAACTTTTGTGATCCATATCCGACATATCCGAAATGCTGTTGATGGTCTCTTCGGAAAGCCCATCGCGTAAATTACTTATGAGTTCAACGCTCAATATCTCAAAAGACAAAGCTATTTTAAAGGAAATCTATTGTCAGACTTATGTGTAGTATGAATAGAAATAGCTACCCTTTGATTATTGCTATTTTATTTCGTCATACTGAACTGATGATTTGTTAAAGTCTTGACAAAAAAATATCCGTGTCTATGTAAATAGACACGGATATTTACTCGAGGTATATACTCGAATAAAATCGAACCGAAGAGAAAAGACGCTGAGAAAGATGATTTAATGTTCACGTGAGAAGCAGAAGGGGTTCAGCGTCTAAGTGAGCGCATCAAAATAAATTCCGGTCAGGTGATCATCAATGAAAATAAAATACAGTAATAACGATTCATCATTACTGTATTTCCCTATTCCATTACTATTCCGATCAGTCGTTATTTCTCTATCACATTAACGAGATTGTTTAATCTTTATTGTAGAAATTTTTATTTAACGATTTTATTTCTTATATTGATAAATCATTTCTTTTTACACTTTAATCCAAGTACATCAAAGATGACGTTTGTATGTTTCTTTCTCTTGATCCAGTTTCGTTTCGGTTGATTTTATTTCTGCATATTCATATTCTATGTGCAAGAAATATCTTTCGAAACAATAAATGCGAAAAGACAAGTTTTATATTTTATCGAATGTCATAAGTATATATACGAAGAAGATAGTGCTCTGCGCGTAATATTACGATATGTCTATAGGCTGATTTATTTGATAAATTGTCTTGCGTTTGTACGGATAGATATTGTATAGTTTTAGTTCATTTAGAAGACAGAGAAATATAGGAAATTACAACGAGTATCATCTTCTTCGTATATATGTTGTAGGCAAAACTCAAATTCAGGCAAATTTGCCTAGGCAAAACTCAAATTTTAGTTTTGACTGGGCAAAACTTAAATTTAATATTATAATTTGAGTTTTGCCTGAATATAATTATATTATTTATAAACTAAATTTTGACACCATCTAAGAGTATTCCTG